GTGGCTTCTTGCAGAATCGACACTCTTCTAGCTTCTCATCATCTCTCCAGTAGATCATGCAGTTGTCGATGCAAACATCTATCATCTCCGATGGCAACCCAAGACTATAAACCAATTTCTGAATCTCGTAATAAGATTCAGCTGACACGTTGTCTTCTGGCAAATACTCTTTAAACAACTCCGCCCATGCATTCATGCAGTTCTCGGGTAAATTATAATCCGTTTTAATATTCATCATCCTAGTTGCTAGAGATAATTTAGAGTGACCTTCTCTACAACCAGTGTAGATTGGTTGATTTGCAGCATCTAGCATTTCATAAAACCTTTTTGCATATAAATTAGGTTCTTCAACATGAACAGTTTCATCTACTATTGTTGTAGTAGTTTCTAAAAATGCATCAGTAATCATGTCGTGAACCCTATCATGATCTACCATCTGTTCAACACCCTGATTATTACTGACATTCCGAAAATTACTATTACTACTACTAGATTCATTTCCTCCATAACCCTCTCCATGTTGAAACCAAATATAATACTGTGGTGTAAAACCTCTGTGTACTAAATGTTTCCAGACAGTTTCCGTACGAGCAAATTTTGAATTCTTGCATTTCTGACAAGGACAGAACATCTTACCACTTTCCTGCGTGAACGGTGTACATGCTGCTTGGTTCATGAACGTCTCAAGCCCGCTAAGAAATTCTTTCGTCACTCTACCGTCAGAATCTTTATGCGTATACATCCAACTCCGCAATTCAAAAATATTTCTTCCATCCGACATTTTTTTGATTTGTTTTTGTGTGGTGGCATGAAATGAGAAATGAGAAATGCTCATATATATAGCAAATCCACGAAAATTGGTAGGTGAAAATTTACAACGTATTTACAAGGAACATATTTACATGGATATTACATGTCTCTAACATATAGGTTACAACATGTTTACAACGACATCAGTTACACATTAAAGTCGTGTTCACCTACCAGTATTCGTCGTAAAGCCATAGTAAATTTACGACGAATTTACAACAAAAGCTAAAAAAAAATTTGGATAAATCTTTTTCTTCATTACTTAAACAAACCTAAAATGCGTGGACAGTTACCAGAACATTTCTCATCAACTTCTCGTATCTATTTATCGACTTCTCGAAAAAAAGTTACCAGGAGTTGATTAGAACTGTTCTGGTGATTGTTCACGCATTATAATTTCTTCAAAAATCGATACATAAGTTATCGAATTTTTTTTTTTCTACGAATTTTTTTGTTTTTGTTTGTGGTGTTCTTAGGAGTGATTATGAATGACATATATATAGAAAATTTTCGTGCTTGGTTGGTAAATATTTAACTACGAATTTACATGGAAACCTTTTACTACGATTTTACAAGGCATTTGTACATGCTTTACAACCATGTTACAACGAAAGTAGTTACTTAAGAACACGTTTTTGTTTACTTTTAACGGTTAAACATTACTCGTAATGTACTTGTAACTTTACTTCGTCTTTACAACGAATCGTTCTTTGCCTAGTACCTTCGTCGTAAATTTACTTGTCCTTTACGACGAAGGTCTTTCCTTGTAACGAAACTAGTTCATTACGACGAATATGTATTTCGTCGTAAACGACTTGTTACGTACTCGTACCATTACGAGGAAGGAAATTCCTCGTAATTCTTCCTCGTTAAAGGCGTGTTTTTTTGTAGTGGTTAGAAATTTTCAATTGTTAATATTTTTAGAAAATTTGTGAGATTTAAAATATTTTAACAAAAAAAAAATACTTACAGATAATTGGTTGTAAAATTATTTTATATTTTACGAGGATAGGTCCGTCCTATGGGCGGGATTTGATGGATCAGATTTTACAAAAGATATAATTTTGTTTCAATTTCCTTAAAGGCTTCCACTATAGCTCAATTTCAACTGATTTGTCTTAACCCGGGCAAATCTTTTTCAAAGTTATTGTAGTTTTTTGGTTGAATGTTAGTACAATGAAACCTCTATAAATTAATAATGTTGGGACTACACCAAAATTTTATTTTTTTTATTAATTTAGAGAGATATTAATTTATAGATATACTAATTGAACCAAAAACTCAATTTGGGACTATAAAATTATATTAATTTATAGAAATATTTAGTGTATATTAATTTATCGAGTATTAATTTATAGAGGTTCTACTGTAATTGGTATTATTAACAATGGAGATTGTTGGCATTTAATTTGTTTTTTTTTTGTGATATTTCTTTGATTATATTTGTTTATATATTATGTAATCGTTCTATTTTTTATTAATAAAAAGGAATGGAGAAATAAAAAAGGAATAGCAAAATAAAAAACAAAACAAAAGATCAATAAAGACAACGAATGTAGTTTTTTAAATGGATAAACTGAGTACAAATTATTGTTCTTAAGAATTGGATATATTTCTACTAAAATATTGTGTTTGGATATGTAAAGCATCTTATATTCATTTGGGTATAGTCAATCATGCATTGGTGATGAAAGATATACAATGAAATCTCTATAAATTAATAATATTGAAACTATACCAAAAGTATAATTTTTTTATTAATTTCTAGAGATTATTAATTTATCGATATACTAATTAAATTAAAATCTCAATTTGGTACTATAGAATTATATTATTTTATAGAGTTTTTTAGTATATATTAATTTATAAAATATTAATTTATAAAATATTAATTTAAAGATGTTATACTGTTGTTGCATTTTGCAATGAATTTATAACCTAGCCTTTTACGGTCTGCTCAATGATATAGTGCAAAGTTCATCTTCCTCCGCTGGTGAGGTTGCTCTTCTTTCAGCACTAGAAAATATGTTGATATATTAAAAATATGTTGTTATATTAAAAATTTATATTTATGAAACACAGACAAATATGTTGATATATTAAAAATTTACAGTACATAGATAAGATTGACTGTGGAAGCCATATTTGGTTCAGTAGTTTGACTGAAAGTTCATTAATACTTCTACATCGGGAGGTCCAGATTTCAATCTCCGTCGAAAACGATTTATTAAACAATTATGCAGGATACGAAGAAAAAGCTTACAAAGGATCTTCAGTATGGTGTAAGTAAACTCGGCTAGACATGAATCTTCATAGCACGGTTCAAGTGATGCAGTTAAATGTAGATCATCATAAGGATATAGTAATGTCGGTTGTCGAATTATCTATGTAATCTTTCTTATAATTGTAATATCATAATAAATTAGTGTTAATAAAAAAAGATAAGATTGACTTTCCAATGTACATATTAGAGTTAAAATAAGAAGGCATATGATCCAAATGGCGACCAAGAAATCAATAGGAATACTCAATTTCTATTATTTTTAAAATTTTGATATCATTTAAAAGAAACATATGATTTCATCAAATAAGTAAAATAAATAAATAACAATTAATTTAGCCTAATCCAAAACCAACTAAATTCAGAAAAAAAAATATTATTTTAAATAGATTTACGTATCTAAAAAATATCATTAAATGATGAGTCAAAGACAATTCACCAAACAAAAAGATCTTCATTTTTCTCGCGCAAAATTACATATAAAAATAAAAAAATAAAAAAATAATTAATTTCTTTAAACCTTTTATATTTTCCCCAGTTTCATGTGAAGTTCATAAAACCCAATATTTGCTAGCGAGTCACGGACACGAACTAATGCTACGACCATTGACTAAACAAAAGTATAAAACTTAATTACCTCAAATAAAATAAAATTATAAAATGTGAAGTGAATCAAACACAATTATAGAATGATATAAATAATAGATAAGTGTATAATGAATTTAAAAATTTATTTCCTTGAAATTAGTGCTTTTATACGAAATAAAGAAAACTATAGATAATAATGGAGTTTAAATAAATTACTAAAATCTGAAAAAGTTACAGACATCCTCTGCTTGCTGTTATAAAAGTACACACATACAGAGAACAAGAAGCAAACGAATCACAATGATTAAAACACAAACCTTTATCTCTGTTCTGTTCTCTGTCATTTTCTTATCTCTCCCTTTCTCCTCGTTAGCTGCACCAGCGTCTTCGACCTCCGTCTACGAATCCTTCGTTAAATGTTTCTCCGACAAGACTAAAACCCCACAAGCCCAAATCACCAAAAATGTCTTCTCTCAGACAAACCCTTCCTACTCCTCCGTCCTCCGTGCTTACATCCGAAACGCGAGGTTCAACACTTCCTCTACTTCTAAACCAACGATCATAATCACCCCTCGCTCCGATAGCCACGTCAGCGCCGCCGTCTTCTGCTCAAAGCCTCTAAACTTCGTCTTCAAGATCAGAAGCGGCGGTCACGACTACGATGGTCTCTCGTACATCTCCGACAAACCCTTTTTCATCCTCGACATGTCGAATCTCCGCAACGTCTCCGTTAACATCGCTGATCAAACGGCGTGGATCTCCGCCGGAGCAACTCTCGGCGAGGTTTACTACGGGATTTGGAAGAAGAGTAAAGTCCACGGTTTCCCCGCCGGAGTTTGTCCGACGGTTGGTGTCGGAGGGCATCTGAGCGGCGCGGGGTATGGAAACATGGTGAGGAAGTTCGGTCTCTCGGTGGATTACGTCGTGGACGCGAAGATCGTCGACGTGAAGGGTCGTGTTTTGGATAGGAAAGCGATGGGTGAGGATCTTTTCTGGGCGATACGTGGCGGAGGAGGAGCTAGCTTCGGCGTCGTTTTGGGATACAAGGTCAAGCTCGTTACCGTGCCATCCACGGTGACTGTGTTCAGAGTGGAGCAGTATATGGACTCAGGAGCGGTGGATATGGTTCATAAATGGCAGTCCGTTGGTCCGAAAACGGACCCGAACCTCTTCATGAGGATGCTGATTCAGCCCGTGACCAAGAAGAAGGTTAAGACGGTGAGAGCTTCTGTGGTTGCTTTGTTCTTAGGTAAAGCAGACGACGTCGTTTCACTTCTTGCTAAGGACTTCCCTGAGCTGGGACTAAAGAAGGTGGACTGCAAGGAGATGAGTTGGATTCAGTCTGCTTTATGGTGGGATAATAATGAGAACGCGACCAAGACTGATCCCAAAGTGTTTCTTGATCGGGATCTTGATTCCGCTACCTTCGGCAAGAGGAAGTCTGATTACGTTGCAACCGAGATACCTAGAAACGGGATTGAGTCTCTGTTCAAGAAGATGATCGAGTTAGGGAAGATAGGGCTTGTTTTCAATCCTTACGGTGGGAAAATGGCGGAGGTCGCTGAAGACGCAACGCCATTCCCACACCGGAAGAAGCTGTTCAAGATTCAGTACTCTGTGAACTGGAAAGAGTCGTCTCCAGAGATAGAGAAAGGTTTCTTGAATCAGGCTAAGACGCTTTACAGTTTCATGACCGGGTTTGTGAGCAAGAACCCTAGGAATGCTTACTTGAACTACAGGGATGTTGACATTGGTGTGAATGATCACGGGGCGAATAGTTACAAGGAAGGAGAGGTGTACGGAAGGAAGTATTTTGGTCAGAATTTTGACCGATTGGTGAAGATTAAAACCGCGGTTGATCCAGATAATTTCTTTAGAAATGAACAGAGTATACCTACCTTGCCAAGAAAGGCATAGTGGAAAAAGACTAACCTTTTGTTTTTATTATAATAATTGAAAGGTTTGTTTTTTTTTACTACTAGACCAATATAATGTTTGGTGAAGCAGAATATAATATGTTTTGGAATATTGAATACATTGAACTTAATAACAAGACTTTTTTTCTTTAAGTTAAAAGCTTTAAAGGGGTTGTTAGTGATGACAAAAACAAAAGTTCAAAACCGTTGAACGTTGAATATAGCTTACCTGATTTTGAAAATCATGGCGAAAATTGTGGAAACGTTCGGTTTGTTTGGAGTAGTTAAACAGTTTATGCGGAAATGCTGGGAAGAATGACAGTGTTGACCTGACTATAGACCAAATTGGGTTGCAACTGTAATATTTAAACAATTAATGATGCAACCTCGACAATTTGGTTTAATATTGCAATTGACATTGTAATTTAGTTTTTTAAATAGCTAGGTTTAACTTATCATTTAAACTCATCATCAATTGTACATTGAGGTGAAAATGGTTTCGAAACAATATAAAGAGTGAGATGGGGCGAACAAAGACGCTTTTTATTAGATCTGAATAAGAGGTTACAAGGAGGTAAATAAAGAGGCGAACTAGCCGGAGCTCGGAGAGCAGGCCGGAGGAATACAAAGTGGTGAGTATCTGTGAACGTAAGAGAACCTTAGATCTAACCACCTAGTATCTATGAAACCCTAGATCTAGCCGCCTAGTGTGTATGTCGAAGTATGGATCCCCTTTCCCATTGCTGCCTCTCTCCTTTTATAGACCTTATCTTCATGTTCGCCCTAGTTTACCCGAGCCTTGTTGGGCCTTATTCTCGTTGGGTCCGTTTAGTAGCCCGGGTAAATCATGCTTCTGTTAACTCTTCCAGAACACTCTTAGTCGCGCTACTAGACACGTCCTCGTGCTGAGGCGTTTCTTACGCGTTTAGTGGGCCGAGTACATTGTCACATCGGGATAAGCTTCTCCATTTGATGGGCCTTGTGAAGGGGTATAACCCATCTCCTACAATAAGTCCCCCCAGTTCACTTGTGAGTTCTTAGGACTCTAAGTGAATTTGTGGGTCAGGTTTGATCATATGGAGAATCTAGCACAGATGCGCATTTAGGCGTCACCTTGAGCGAGTCTAGTAGCGCGGCTAGGACGTCGTCTGCTAGAGCGTGTTTAGCAGTCATCAATAGCGGATCTAGTAGCGCGACTAGGACGTCGTCTGCTCGAGCGTGTTTAGCGGTCACCTTGAGCGAGTCTAGTAGCGCTGCTAGGGCGTCTTCTGCTAGAGCGCGTTTAGCAGTCACCTTGAGCGCGTCTAGTAGCGCGGCTAAGATGTCTTCTGCTAGAGCGCGATTAACAGTCACCTTGAGCGCGTCTAGTAGCACGGCTAGGACGTCGTCTTGTAGCGCGTTTAGGCGCCTGCTCAGGCGAGTGTAGTAGCACGGCTAGGATGTCTTCTGCTAGGGCGCGTATAGGCGTCAGCATGAGCGGGTTTAGTAGCGCGGCTAGGATGTCTTCTGTCAGAGCGCGTATAGGCGTCAACACGAGCGGGTCTATTAGCGCGGCTAAGATGTCTTCTGCCAGAGCGCGTATAGGCGTCAACACGAGCGGGTCTATTAGCGCGGCTAGGACGTCATCTTGTAGCACGTTTAGGCGCCTGCTCAAGCGAGTCTAGTAGCTCGACTAGAGCGTTGTCCGATCTAGTCGACCGATTGAGATGCGCGTTTAGCAGACATCTTTTTTTTTTCTTCCCCTAACCTTTTTCTGGTTTAGTTCCAACTATTTCTCGATTTAGGTCCGGTTGAATTCCGGTTCGAGTGAACCGGTTTTAGGGGTTAACCAGACCTAATTAGGTTCGAAATCAAAAGATTTCGAATAATCTTGTGGGTTTCTGCGATTGATGGGCCCATTTAGGCATGTTTAGATGCATTAATTGCATTTGGAAAATTGTGCCTTAGGATTTTGCTATAAATAGGTAGATGCTCTTCTCTTTTCATTATTCTTCTCTGCAATTTCATGTACTCTCTTCTCTGCAAGTTCATGTACTCTCTTCTCTCCCTTCTCTCTACTCTTAACTTTCTCTCTCTAAGTTTTTCGTCTCGGGTTCCTCCTTTTGGGTGGTTTAATCGACTGAGTTGGAGCCATGACTTCGTCCGGAAGGTTGTTGCGTGAGGAGAAAGGCAAAGGAATCTCCCTCGCGACGGGTCAGATCGATGATGTCACGGAGAACGGGAGTCCGATAGAGGATTTTAGCTTGATTCACCGCGATGCGCTGCGGAGCGATCGATTCGAGTCGCGTAGCGTAAGGGACGACCAAGACGCTGAAGAGAAGAGCCAAGAAGGCGATTCAAGTCGTTCGGCTAGCGGGTCCGAGCGAGAGGGTGTCGAAGATTCCGACTCCGATCAGGATGGTGAAGACTTAGCGTCTCCGGATCAGAGCCCTCGAACCTTATGGTTAAGACATCGAATTGCTAGGTTCGATTTGATCGAGTGCAGGCCGACAGTTCATCGTCTCGATGGCACCTTTGAGGAGTTAAATGCTCTTCCCCCAGAATCGCTGCGAGATCCTTGGGCTGAGGGTCAACGTTGGGAGAATGTTTTCGGGACTCGATCTAACCATGGATCTGTGAGAGGCGTGCTGGAGTGTGCCAGAGGAGCAGGCGTGACTTACGTGATTCCTTCCCCGGAGCAGAGGCCTTGGTCCCCTCCGATCGGCTTCCAGTGCCTATACGAGTCGTACTTTGAGGATGATTCGAAGCTCTGGTTCCCGATTCCACGCTTGATCTCTGCGTATGTGAGAAGGCGGGGAGTAGCGATCAGCCAACTAAAGATCGGCTCGATTCGGAATGCCGTCATGCTGATGGTGATGGCTGCGGAGATAGATGTTCCTATGAGTGTGAGAGTATTCGAAGAATTGACTTCTACGAAAGCGGAAAAGGGGGGGCTTATTCTCGGTGAAGATGCATCCAAGTTATAATGTCTCGACTGGTCATCCTCGCAAGACAACGAACTGGCAGCGTTCGTACTTTTATGTCAAAGCTGATAAGTACGCATTTGCAGAAGCCATTGAAGACGACTTTCCGGTTTTATGGAACAACAAAATTGGTAGAAAACGAGCATCGTGGTGTCTGTTATATTCGTCGGTCGCCTAACCTCGCTTTTTATCTTTTGCCGGTCGTCATCCAAATACAATCGCGTATCCAGAGAAGTTCTTCCAGATCGCGCAGGCTATTGCGACTCAAAGCCATCTGAATTGGCTGGATCTGAGTTGGGAGTGGATTCGTCGACAACAAGCACGCATAGCGAGACGTAATCCTCCTTTCTTGATCTCGGTTATGTCCGATTGACTAACGGTTCTTTTCTCCTTTCGCTTGTCGCAGTTGATTGGGAATCAAGACAGCCGCTTGTGATCTCGGCGTGTAAATCTCCCTTATCCTTATTTACCAGGAAGCAGCAGAAACTACTTAGGCAGGCGAGAGAGATGTCGGCGAGACCAGACTTAAGTGCGTTACTTAAGGGAAAGCTCCAACTGCTGAAGAAGTCGACTACCGGGGCTGCATCGGCTGGAGATAAAGACGCTGAAGCTTCTCAACAACACGATCCGACCCGACTGATCAATCTGCTGATGTTGACCCGCCGCTCCTGAAGCGAAGAAGAAGAGGAAGCGGAAGAGTCCTATGACGAAGGAGGTACGATCATCGGCAGAGGTTACTTCTCCCGAGGGGTCTTCAGACGGTCTGGAGGTAGGGAAGAAAGAGAAGGGGAAGGAGAAGGGAAGGAAATCGCGCGGGGATCTCGTCGACGGCGGTCCTACTGGGGATGATTCTGAGGAAGGGGGTTCGGGAGAACGTGCGAAGAAGAAAAAGAAGAAGAAACCTGCTAAAGAGGCCCCGCAGTCTCTAGATCCAGAGTCTCATCCTGCGGACACTCGGGAACTGGCGCATGTCGATGATGAGGTTGAAACTCTTAGCCCGCCGGCAAATCCTTCCCCCACCGATACTCATGAGAAAAGGAAGTCTCCTACTCGGATAAGTCGATCGGAAGGTTCGCTTGGCAAGAGACTCCGGATCGAGTTTGCGGACCGCGTGAACTTCTCGTATGATGAAACAACTCCATTGATACATAACCCGGATCGGTGCACAGATCTTACTCGACAGATCCGAGGGGGACCTATTGAGATGCCTCAAGTTGGAGACCTTATTTTTAAAGATGAGTACACGGAGGCTTCACTGGCGAACAGACGGGGGTATACGAATTTTGATCAAAGTTTTGATGATTTTAGTCGCATCATCATCCCCTTTAGTCTGACATCCTTCTGTTTGTTTGCTTGCTTTCAGGGTGACGGGAGCATGAACGTCCTTGTTGAGAAGTATGACAGGAATCTTAGGCAGACGATGGTTCAGCTTGGAGCCGCAGAAAATCTCGCCCGAACCAGGCTCGGTATTATCGAGCGGATCAAGGCCGATAACAGGAAGGAAAAAGAGATTCTTCGCGAGAAGTTTGAGGGGTTTGAGAGGATACTTAAGGCTGACCGTGCTGCAAAGAAGGTTCTCGCACGGGAAAAGGCGAGCCTTGAGAAAGCTAACGCTGCATTGGAGCAGGAGAAGGCAGAGCTTCAGGCTGAAAGGGATGCTGTGACGCAGAAATTGATCGATGAGAGGCAACGTTTGCGAGATTCGCGCCGCCAGGAGGTTACTCGCGAGAGGGTACGTGTTCAGGCGGCTATGACTGACAAGGTTAACCGTTGCATTGACCGCGTGTGGACCTACCTTAAACAGCACAGCCTTGTCGATCAGGAGCAGAGTTTGCTAGAGCAGGCTTCTGGGACAAGGAAATGTCTCGAGATGATCCAAGAGCAAAAGGTGGGGATTACACAAGAACTCATCGATCTCTTCAGTACTCAGGAAGAGGAACACGAATCCAACGTTGCTAAACTGAGCGTGGGTCCTTTGACCAACGAAGATCTTACTATTTCCCCACTGGTTCTCCCTTCAAGGTTTGTGAATGAAGAG